ACAACTGTCTCAACCTCAAAACATAATTGTCACAAAGTCAAGAGAATGCACTCTAAAAGACAACAACAACAACTATCTATTATATAATTGCTGTTGACCAAAAAAAAAAAAAGTTGAAAAATAAACAAATAATCTATGCACAATAAATTGGATAGATTGCTAATTTCATTGCACAAATTCAGCAGAAGCTCAGTCCCTCAGCCTGTAACATGCCCTAGGGGTTCCATGTAGTTTAAAAAGTTTAAAAAAGGGCGAAGAGGTAAAATTATGCTATTGTGATTTTTGTGTGTAATGAAGTAAGGGCGAAGAGGTAAAACGGCCTATTTGTTTTTAAATAAATAATAAAGAGATGATGGAGTTTGTCGTAGAAGTACAAGTTATTCTATGATAGCTAGGCAAGCGTAAAAATATATGAAAGATTATATACAGTGTGTGTGTGTGTGTGTGTGTGTGTGTGTGTGTGTGTGTGTGTGTGTGTGTATATATATATATATATATATATATATATATATATATATATATATATATATATATATATATATATATATGTCATACCTAGTAGCCAGAACGCACTTCTCTGCCTACTTTGCAAGGCCAGATTTGGCTAATAAGCCAAGTTTTCATGAATTAATTGTTTTTCGACTACCTAACCTACCTAACCTAACCTAACCTAACCTAATTTTTCAGCTACCTAACCTAACCTGTATAAAATGAGGTTAGGTAGGTAGGGTTGGGTAGGTTTGGTCATATATCTACGTTAATTTTAACTCCAATAAAAAAAATTGATCTCATATATAATTAAATGGGTAGCTTTATCATTTCATAAGAAAAAAATTAGAGAAAATATATTAATTCAGGAAAACTTGGCTTATTAGGCAAATCGGGCCTTGCATAGTAGGCTGAGAAGTGCGTTCTGGCTACTAGGTACGCCTATTTTTGTGTGACATAAGGGCGAAGAGGTAAAACGCCTATTGACATAGCTCGAGTGCATGGGGGGAATTGTGTAAAATCCTGGTTTGTCTCTCGGAGAGGCTGCAGGATCCAAGTAAATTCAGTAGAATTTCTGGTTGCAATTCTTATACCATGTCGTAGCTCAGTCGATTAAGGTAGCGTCTGGGATGCTCTCAGATGTAGGTTCGAATCCTCGTCATGGCCCTTGTGGATTTGTTCATTTGAGGAAAGATGTAAAGGCTTCGTAACTGGGTACGTAAATAGTTTGATGAACCCTGGGCCAATGGATGAATTTGATCAATGGTTGTTCTTCAGTTACCGGCTACCAATTGCATTGCTTCTCATTTCCTTTTTTGTTTTCTTTCAAGCAGTGGTTTTGACTTCACCTCAACATTCTAGGCGGGCTTCCTGGACATCTTGGAGTTGATCTCTGACCCTAATACTTTCCCCGAGTGAACCAGGTCCTGGCTCCTGGTAGAGGCGCGTGTTTCAATACCGGGGCACGATCATGGGTATTAATACCCCAGCCTCTGGGGTATTAGTACCCATGCCAGGGCACTACTGTAGGGGAAGATAGCAGCCCATATAATTAATTTAAAGAATAATGTCACCAGAAATATACACAGCATATATACTATGAAGGAGAGTTAGCAATGCATGCATAAACAATAGTAACCTACGCCTTTGCCAGACGTACATGGAACCCCCAGGGATGCTGGGATGCTATGAACACGACAGACAAATGCAACATATATATGTGTATGTGCTGTTTGGCTTCAGCTAGGACTGCTCTCTTACACACCGCCCGCACACCAGTGTCTAGTTCATCAATACACCAAACTCATTTCAACAATGGAGCAAGAAACCCCTACTGTGTTTCCGGTAATGAATGAATATATATATATATATATATATATATATATATATATATATATATATATATAGATTCAGATTCAGATTCAGATGTTTATTCAGGTAAGGTATATACATACAAGTGATGTTACATTAATGGATTGATATATAGATAGAGCTAGTACATACAATGCCTAAAGCCACTATTACGCAATGCGTTTCGGGCAAATTATTAATCAGATTAATTAATTAATTAATTAATTAATCAAATTATTATCAGATTAACGAAAAAACATATAAACATGGACTATACAAAACACAAGATATAGAAATACAAAACAAAAATATAAACAAGACTAAGCAATACAAAAACAAATTGAGCAAAAATGAAAAATGAGGTAGATTGCTTACAAGTACTCTCAGGTACACTGTAAGTAACAATTTGCAATTTGAGATGCAGGCAAAGCCAGGGGTACAATGGAGTAAGGGAGCATGGCGAGGCTAGGCAACCTAGGTAATAAATGAAATCAAAGAAAAGTTGAATAATAAGCATAGGCAAATTTAAGCTAATGATTATTAACTATAAATAGTTCAGTTATGACTGTATAATTAATATTTATTATTTTTTTATTTATTTTTTATTTATGCATATACAAGAATGTACATAAGGAATGTGAGGATACAATTATGGTAATTATTATATAGTTATTATTTATTATAGTATTTATTATTATACTATTATTATTATACTATTATATATACTATTATTATTACTAATTATTATAGTAATTATTATTATTATATATATATATATACATATATATATGTATATGTATATATATACACCCCTCACACACAGAATGTCTGTCTGTGTGTGAGGGGTGGAAGGAAGACGTTTTAGGATAACCTCGCCCAACTTTGCAGGGTGAATGGTCTTGGGTATGGGGTCAGTCCTACTGGTAAGAGGAGGGTCAGACATAGGAGTGAACACCCATCAACACAGATGAATGGTGAAAAGTGATTGGCCGAATCCATAGATTTCTTGGTAAATAAATAAATGGAAATGTCTGCTTGAGGTCAGATGTGGGAGAATGAAGGAAAAACAATAGAGGTGAAAAGTAGAGAAACGGAGAAAGGTAGAGAGAAGAGGGGGAAGGGGAAGGAGTGGAGGGAATAGGGGTGAGGAGAGGGAGGAAGAGATGACGGGGTCAAGGTCAGCACAATACCCCTCTTTCACCAAGTCTGGGAGTGTGAAATGTTCAGCTCCGACTCCGTAGACTTTATCAGTTGCCCAACAGTGAATTCAAATGTAGATTTTCAAAACGTTCATGTTCAGATGACAGATTTGCATTTTGGGAGCAACCTTTTAATTACATTGGCCGGGGAAGGGGGAAGGGCGTGTGTGAGCAGTGAGGGAGGAGAGGGGGAGAGCTTTGTGGAGGGATGATGGGAGAGTGTGTTGATGTGAGATAGGAAAGTGTATGTATATATATATATATATATATATATATATATATATATATATATATATATATATATATATATATATATATATATATATATATATATATATACATACATACATAGGCTGTATATATATATATATGTATGTATATATATATATATATATATATATATATATATATATATATATATATATATATATAATATATAACAGGTAAACCTCATACATAATGGGAATTAAGTGCATATAACATATCTAAATTATACTAAAACTAGTGTTTAAGTTACTAGCACTTGTTTAGACCATACAAGGGACGGTATATTGATTTTGCTTAAGAGTGTTCGTATGTGTCTCTCCTCGACTGTATAAAAGTTTAATATGAATAAGTAGATTTCTAGCGGAGATAAAGGATTGTAATATATCATATATGTAATTACTATTTTAAACATTGCAATAATTTCGTTTTCTTTTTATAGTGCTCCCAGATGGCTCTTAGAGTAATAGATGTTATTGATAGTGCGTTTCTTGCTCCAGTGAAGAACTTAACAATGCAGCTACCACAACCCAGGAGAACAATAACAGATGCATACAACTCATGACTCCTATAACCATATCATGCTTTGCTTTCTTTCAATATAACAAATGGTAATTATTTGTTCATAGTGAAATTTATGATACATCAGGCAAGTGAGACATAGCATGCATCTGGTATGAATGAATACAACAAAAATGCATTTCACATCTTTCGGGGAGATTATGAATGATGAGATTATTCATAATCTCATCTTTATGAGATTATGAATAACTATCATCATAGCTGCATAAAACACGGGCCTGTATTGTATAATACAATCATGATCTGCTAATATACTCTCTCATCTGTTGACTAAAAATCTTCATTTAAATTTTTACATCAATCCAGTATATTAATTTTGAGAAAAATATATCAGCAAGGAATACTTTCATTTTTTTTAAAGTAAAACCAATCGTTTGTTTTAGTTCAAATATATTGAACACTTTTCTCTTTGGTATAAGGGCAGGATGGATTAATGTTCACAGTTTCCAATTTATTTTGTCATATCTTATAATTTATGATTAATTAAATAGTAAACATTTAATTAACATACTGGAGGTTACACATATTGTGTCTGGTTCGAGTCTTTATTTTATAATGGAAGATTTTATTTTATGAATTAAACGAGGAATTATTAGGACCTGGGAACCTCCATGGTGGAAACTCTTATTCAAATCTTAAATACCTCTTTTTCAACATCCATATATATGAAGATTTTCTGTCTCACAGAGTAATACTTCTCTAAGTATTCGTATTCAGACTACTTCTCCAAAGTAGTCGTACTCAGAGCACTATATTTCTCTAAGTAGTCATATTCAGAACACTATAATTCTCTAAGTAGTCGTATTCAGAGTAATACTTTTCTAAGTAGTCGTACTCAGAGTAATATTTCTCTAAAATAGTCGTACTCAGAGCACTATTATTCCAAAGTAGTCGTACTCAGAGCACTATACTTCTCTAAGTAGTCGTACTCAGAGCATTATACTTCTCTAAGTAGTCGCACTCAGAGCATAGCTTCCCCAAAGTAGTCATACTCAGAGCACTTCACTTCCCCCAAAGTAGTCGTACTCAGAGCACAACTTCTCCAAGGTAGACGTACTCAAAGCACCATACTTCCCCAAGCACTCACAGGAAAACAAGGACTCAGGAAACACTCACATCCTTCATAGACTTCGAGAGGGACGTGGATGCCGGAGATGTTGTACCTGACGGGGACGCCCAACCTGTCGTCGTAGGTCATCTTGTGGGTGTCGTTGAGGGGGTCCAGGTCCTTCATCAGCAGCGGCTGCGACGTGTTCAACCGCAGGTCGTCGTTCCAGATGTAGGTTGTCGTAGCGTCTTCTAAATGATCTACAATTCTCTGAGAAAAGAATAGGATAATAATAGAATAATAATAGAAATAGAATAGATAATATAGAATAGAAATAGAATAATAATAGAAAAGAATAGAATAATAATATCCTCACATTCCTTATGTACATTCTTGTATATGCATAAATAAATAAATAAATAAATAAGTAAATAAATATGAAACGTTGGCTTGAAAATGGACATTTATACAAAAATTTCCCGGGGAAGGAAGATTGTGTCTTTTGAGGTATAAAAGTATTTATAAGTGCAAGAATTCTTACATTCTTGTAAAGCCACTTTAGCATAGCGTTTCGGGGCCACAAACGTCTTAATCTTAATTTTCCCCTGGAATACGACCCGCCAAATGGTTTAACAACCAGGTACCCATTCACTGCTGCGTGAATAGAGGCGTATGGTTAAGGGTTGGTGCCCAGTCAATCCTACACCCACTACTCTCCCACCACACCCACTACACTGACAGTGTAGTGGGGAAGCAGGCACTATAAACTGTCACCTCTCTCCGTCATTTATATAATTTTCTATTGACAAATATTACAGAGTTCGTCCAAGAATATCTCATACACCTTAATAATTCTTCATTGTAATCATTATTTACCTCAATTGACAGAAAAAGTAATATATTTTCTTGTCAATTAGAGAAAAAAGAGAAGTTTTAGTCTGTTCGTATCTTGAAATATCGTATCCTTCATTGTACTCTATCTTCTGTACCTCATTTATCATTATATCTGCTGTTCCTTATACAACATCCTTCATCTAACCTTTTTTTCTAGTATATTTGTCTTTATTAAAGTTTGGAATGTTGACAATTTCATGATAAGTTCAATGTTGCATCGCTTGTTCTCTCATAATTTATAGAACAAGGATAACTTTGCTGTTCTGTTCTCTCTCCATCCAGCATCTTATCTCTACATGTTTATTGAAATTCGTTTATTGTGAGAATAAAATGCATCTCAAAAGGAATAGAGTAGCTTAGGCTATTTCTACCCTCCAAACATGTTTATTAAACTCAGCCTGTGTATGTGAGGTCATGACCTGAGCCCAGGCAGCTCAGATCATGACCTTTAGCTTACACTAACTGAGTCATGTCAGATCAGTCATGTTATACACAAGAGGGATACAGCTTCCGTCATCTCACATAACCAAGGCATCACATGACCTCATACTTCATCTCACATGCCAATACGATTCCTTACTCAGGAACTCCCAAGACGGTAACCCGAGATGAGGATACTCGTGGATATTGCACAGGAGTGCACAGGATTCTGCAACTTTGGGTGTGTACGTTTGGCTGAGAAATCACCACTTCCTCACAAGAGTGTCCGGTGAGTTTCTGGTGCAACAGCCTTGTTGTGACTTCCAGCAGATGCCTCCTCAACACACCACTACTTGATAACCTCAAAGTCTTCCACTGGTACTTGAATTAACACCATCTCTCTCAGTTCAGGTCCTTCCCCCCCCCCCTTCCTTGGTCTGCTGACGATCTCTTGAAATTTCTTGTTGAGATCAACACACACACCTCTCTGTCATTCTCTGTGAGCAGGTCCTTCCCAGTCTCCAGTTTGTTGCGTCCTCGCTAAATTTGCTATGATATTTTCACACTGGCTTTCCATTTGTCTTCTCACTCTAGAAATGTTCATTCTTGGTTAAATTTCATCTAATTATTTCAGCCTGAGGCGATAAGTTTATTATGCACCCCATGTTCAGCCTGTGAGCGGTAGCGCAAAAAAATACAGAGGCACAAAATGTGTTTAATCAGACCTCAGGGAAAAGTTTCACATAATTAATTACAATTAATCTGCACACCTTATAATAATTAAATTGACAGCTACGAATGGGCTCCTGTCTCTGGAACATCTTGGTACTGTCCCAAAATTAGCTATCTATTTCCTAGAAATCGGTTTAATGATTTTTAGTGTTAATCATGTTTAATGATATTAATCATGTTTGTTGACCAGGGGCCAGATTCACGAAAGAACTTACGCAAACACTTACGAACGTATACATCTTTCCTCAATCTTTGACGGCTTTGGTTACATTTATTAAACAGTTTACAAGCATGAAAACTTGCCAATCAACTGTTGTTATTGTTATAAACAGCCTCCTGGTGCTTCGGAGCTCATTAACTGTTTAATAATTGTAAACAAAGCCGCCAAAGATTGAGAAAAGATGTACAGGTTCGTAGGTGTTTGCGTAACTGCTTTCGTGAATCTGGCCCCAGACCACACACTAGAAGGTGAAGGGACGACGACGTTTCGGTCCGTCCTGGACCATTCTCAAGTCGATCCAATATGCAATCCAATCATGTTTAATATGATAAATATATGAATTTCTAACTTATTTGATCTCTTTTCAGAACTCTAGCGGCAATAGTGAATACAAAGGAACGCACCTCTGTGGAGACATCCCGTATCAAAGGATTGTGATATAATGAGAAATCAAAGAAAGATTTACAAGGAAAGTTTTCACAGAATTGATCCTATACACAAAGTGATTCCTGAATCGTGAACACATTTTAAACACATACGCCTTCATCAGAGGAAGATAGGAGAAGCTATATCTCTCTCTCTCTTGCTCTCATGAAGGCGAATTGAGCCGAAAATCCGTTCAGCATTCATTAGTTTTTCTAATATGGTTTTTCCACATACTTGGATCAGTGTCCGTGATCGTTGTTGCATATTACTAATATATTTATGTTCCAGGGGCCAGATTCACGAAAGGAATTTCGCAAGCACTTACGAACGTGTACATCTTTCCTCAATCTTTGACGGCTTTGGTTACATTTATTAAACAGTTTACAAGCATGAAAACTTGCCAATCAACTGTTGTTATTGTTATAAACAGCCTCCTGGTGCTTCGCAGCTCATTAACTGTTATATAATTGTAAACAAAGCCGCCAAAGATTGAGAAAAGATGTACAGGTTCGTAAGTGCTTGCGTAAGTGCTTTCGTGAATCTGGCCCCCTGAGAACCAACTAAAGGTTTCACCTCTGTTTCTCACGCGAGGCTTCAAAATGAATGAAAACTGTTTATATTTATGTTTCTGAGCTCAATACTGTTATTTAGATGATATCAAGCGCTGTTTGTCGACATAATTGTATTTGTGCTGCTTTTTCATCTATGTTTTCATTTCTTGTTTTCATTCTACTCATTATGCTCAATTAGTATTAAGCTTGTCATTTAAGTTTATCATGCCCGAAACGCTTTGCGTAATAGTGGCTTTAGGCATTGTATGTACTAGCTCTACCTATAAGTCAAACAAACCTTGTAAATATTGATTGTATGTATGTACCTTACCTAAATAAAATTGTATTGTATTGTTGTATTGTATATTTGTTGACAAAGTAAATCATAGATGGCTTTTGTAATGATTTTAGTATCTTGTCCCTGAAAGGAGGAGATACTCCCTTCTTTACGGAGGGTGATAGATGGTGTTGAGGGGGCGTAGAAATAGCCTAAGCTACTCTATCCCTTTGAGATTTTTTTTTCTTGTCTCAATAAACTTACTTGAACTTGATAGATGGTGTGTGGCGACCTATGGCAGTACTAGGGCAGTGTTACCTACCTGAAGAGCATTCCGCTTGGAGTTGAGAAGGTCCCTGATATTGCCTGCCATGTTCTTCACTAGATCCTGTGGATACACTGGCTCTATGCTGACCCCAGCCTCGCCTTTGAGATCCTGTGAACATAAAATATTAATATGATAGAATTGCGGGATCAGAAATAGGGTTTAGATTGAGTGAGGGAAGGTGGGATATGGTGCTGAGAATGGCCACGACCAATATGTAACAATCTTGAACAGTATCAGGAGCTGCGTTTGTGGTCTTAAAGTTCATTTTTATTATGCATTAATCTGCAGATGATGAGTCACAATAACGTGGCTGAAGATATCAAGACCAAGTTCAAGTTCAAGTTCAAGTATGTTTATTGAGATAAGCAATAAATACATCTCAAAGGGATAGAGTAGCTTAGGCTATTTCTACCCCCCTCTACTTCAAGTCCCTCAAGGGGCGCACAAATTTATCAAGACCAGACCACACACTAGAAGGTGAAGAGACGACGACGTTTCGGTCCGTCCTGGACCATCATCAAGTCGATTGAGTGATGGTTTTGGACAACAATCAAGTCGACAAGCGACTTGATTGTTGTCCAGGATGGACCGAAACGTCGTCGTCTTCTGGTATGTGATTTAGACTTCATGTCATAACAGCATTACTCAGTCTTATTTGACAACCATTTAAGACTTCCAGGGAATATTTTATTTATCTTAGGATTATACATGTGTATAATAAGGTTGATATTTTGTTGTATATATAGTCGAAGAAAACGACGTTTGGTAGAATATCATAGCCACTGTGTAGGTCACATGACCTGGTGTAGCCAATAGGAGGCGACGTGTGAGTTCATGCACGCGAGAGACTGTCTGTGATTGGTCCTTGGAATATCACCTGGTGGGTTAAGGTCAAGGAGTGACCTTAGTGCCCAGGTGCCGGGGTAAACTGTGAATAACAGTCTCTAGTGGAAGAGGTCATACCAGAGGACTCACCCCCATGCTGACCTGGTCATCTATAAAAGTATTTTGCTGTAAAAGTGAGAAAAAATGGAGAGTACTCCTATCTTGAGGCGTTTTCGGGGCTTAGCGTCCCCCGCGGCCCGGTTCTCGACCAGACCTCCTCTCTGTCACATGACAGGAATTACTGCTCTGTAACAGTGGTTAACGCAAACTATTCTTAACTACCCATTTACTGGTCGCTTTGGAAGTCAGCAAAAAGGTCTTATGGCGTCTGGAGGAAGAGCAGTATTGATTGTTTACTAAATAATGCATTCTTCATGCCAGACATCCCGCCCGCATGAGTACCTACACAAGGAGGTCATACCCTCATTGATTCCGGGGTTCAACGTCCCCGCGGCCCAGTCTCTGGCCAGGTCTTACCCACAGTATAAGACATGTCCACACAGTAAGGCTAGACATCTACTCCTCTGTGGAAGAGGAATTACCTCAACAGAACGGGCTATACAGTACACTAACTAATTCTCAAGCAGTTCTATTTCTGTAACCATCAATGATTTGTTATGTTTGGAGGCCCAGGCGTGCCAACCTCTCCAGCTCATCCACCTGTTGACAGAGTACTTTTGGTAACTATGTGATTCACCGTACACATACTGACGTAATTGGCAATTAGCAGAATTTGGCACTATTCGCTTTATAAAGTCCGGGAAAAAATAAGTCTAGACATTAAATATCCCTAGGCTTAGTATAGTATATATACGTACTATATTAGGCCTCATAACATTTAATAGGCCTATGATGGCTGGGTTAGTTTTATTAGCCACAAACACAGAGCCATTTACGGGTTGTCCAAATTCGACAGTACTATATGCTACTTTCTAATTGTCTATTACGTCAATATATGTACTTACTGGCGAGGCAGGCCAGGCCGGCAGGCCACGAGGCAGGTCAGGCCGGCAGGCCACGAGGCAGGTCAGGGCGGCAGGCCACGAGGCAGGTCAGGCCGGCAGGTCAGGGCGGCAGGCCACGAGGCAGGTCAGGCCGGCAGGCCACGAGGCAGGTCAGGCCGGCAGGCCACGAGGCAGGTCAGGGCGGCAAGCCACGAGGCAGGTCAGGGGCCACGGCAGGCCACGAGGCAGGTCAGGGCGGCAGGCCACGAGGCAGGTCAGGGCGGCAGGCCACGAGGCAGGTCAGGGCGGCAAGCCACGAGGCAGGTCAGGGCGGCAGGCCACGAGGCAGGTCAGGGCGGCAGGCCACGAGGCAGGTCAGGGCGGGCCACGAGGCAGGTCAGGGCGGCAGGCCACGAGGCAGGTCAGGCCGGCAGGCCACGAGGCAGGTCAGGCCGGCAAGCCACGAGGCAGGTCAGGGCGGCAAGCCACGAGGCAGGTCAGGGCGGCAAGCCACGAGGCAGGTCAGGGCGGCAGGCCACGAGGCAGGTCAGGCCGGCAAGCCACGAGGCAGGTCAGGGCGGCAAGCCACGAGGCAGGTCAGGCCGGCAGGCCACGAGGCAGGTCAGGCCGGCAAGCCACGAGGCAGGTCAGGCCGGCAGGCCACGAGGCAGGTCAGGGCGGCAGGCCACGAGGCAGGTCAGGCCGGCAGGCCACGAGGCAGGTCAGGCCGGCAGGCCACGAGGCAGGTCAGGGCGGCAGGCCACGAGGCAGGTCAGGGCGGCAGGCCACGAGGCAGGTCAGGGCGGCAAGCCACGAGGCAGGTCAGGGCGGCAAGCCACGAGGCAGGTCAGGCCGGCAGGCCACGAGGCAGGTCAGGCCGGCAAGCCACGAGGCAGGTCAGGGCGGCAGGCCACGAGGCAGGTCAGGCCGGCAGGCCACGAGGCAGGTCAGGGCGGCAAGCCACGAGGCAGGTCAGGCCGGCAGGCCACGAGGCAGGTCAGGCCGGCAAGCCACGAGGCAGGTCAGGGCGGCAGGCCACGAGGCAGGTCAGGGCGGCAGGCCACGAGGCAGGTCAGGCCGGCAGGCCACGAGGCAGGTCAGGGCGGCAAGCCACGAGGCAGGTCAGGGCGGCAGGCCACGAGGCAGGTCAGGCCGGCAAGCCACGAGGCAGGTCAGGCCGGCAAGCCACGAGGCAGGTCAGGCCGGCAGGCCACGAGGCAGGTCAGGGCGGCAGGCCACGAGGCAGGTCAGGGCGGCAGGCCACGAGGCAGGTCAGGGCGGCAGGCCACGAGGCAGGTCAGGGCGGCAGGCCACGAGGCAGGTCAGGGCGGCAAGCCACGAGGCAGGTCAGGGCGGCAGGCCACGAGGCAGGTCAGGGCGGCAGGCCACGAGGCAGGTCAGGGCGGCAGGCCACGAGGCAGGTCAGGGCGGCAGGCCACGAGGCAGGTCAGGGCGGCAAGCCACGAGGCAGGTCAGGGCGGCAGGCCACGAGGCAGGTCAGGCCGGCAGGCCACGAGGCAGGTCAGGGCGGCAGGCCACGAGGCAGGTCAGGGCGGCAGGCCACGAGGCAGGTCAGGGCGGCAAGCCACGAGGCAGGTCAGGCAGGTCCGGCAGGCCACGAGGCAGGTCAGGGCGGCAGGCCACGAGGCAGGTCAGGGCGGCAAGCCACGAGGCAGGTCAGGGCGGCAGGCCACGAGGCAGGTCAGGCCGGCAGGCCACGAGGCAGGTCAGGGCGGCAGGCCACGAGGCAGGTCAGGCCGGCAGGCCACGAGGCAGGTCAGGGCGGCAGGCCACGAGGCAGGTCAGGGCGGCAGGCCACGAGGCAGGTCAGGGCGGCAGGCCACGAGGCAGGTCAGGGCGGCAGGCCACGAGGCAGGTCAGGGCGGCAAGCCACGAGGCAGGTCAGGGCGGCAGGCCACGAGGCAGGTCAGGGCGGCAGGCCACGAGGCAGGTCAGGCCGGCAGGCCACGAGGCAGGTCAGGGCGGGGCCACGAGGCAGGTCAGGCCGGCAGGCCACGAGGCAGGTCAGGGCGGCAAGCCACGAGGCAGGTCAGGGCGGCAGGCCACGAGGCAGGTCAGGCCGGCAAGCCACGAGGCAGGTCAGGGCGGCAAGCCACGAGGCAGGTCAGGCCGGCAGGCCACGAGGCAGGTCAGGCCGGCAAGCCACGAGGCAGGTCAGGGCGGCAAGCCACGAGGCAGGTCAGGCCGGCAGGCCACGAGGCAGGTCAGGCCGGCAGGCCACGAGGCAGGTCAGGGCGGCAAGCCACGAGGCAGGTCAGGGCGGCAGGCCACGAGGCAGGTCAGGCCGGCAAGCCACGAGGCAGGTCAGGCCGGCAAGCCACGAGGCAGATCAGGCCGGCAAGCCACGAGGCAGGTCAGGCCGGCAGGCACGAGGCAGGTCAGGCCGGCAAGCCACGAGGCAGGTCAGGGCGGCAGGCCACGAGGCAGGTCAGGCCGGCAGGCCACGAAGCAAGTCAGGGCGGCAAGCCACGAGGCAGGTCAGGGCGGCAGGCCACGAGGCAGGTCAGGCCGGCAGGCCACGAGGCAGGTCAGGGCGGCAAGCCACGAGGCAGGTCAGGGCGGCAGGCCACGAGGCAGGTCAGGGCGGCAAGCCACGAGGCAGGTCAGGGCGGCAGGCCACGAGGCAGGTCAGGCCGGCAGGCCACGAGGCAGGTCAGGGCGGCAAGCCACGAGGCAGGTCAGGGCGGCAGGCCACGAGGCAGGTCAGGGCGGGAAGCCACGAGGCAGGTCAGGGCGGCAGGCCACGAGGCAGGTCAGGGCGGCAAGCCACGAGGCAGGTCAGGGCGGCAGGCCACGAGGCAGGTCAGGGCGGCAAGCCACGAGGCAGGTCAGGCCGGCAAGCCACGAGGCAGGTCAGGCCGGCAGGCCACGAGGCAGGTTAGGGCGGCAGGCCACGAGGCAGGTCAGGGCGGCAAGCCACGAGGCAAATCAGGGCGGCAGGCCACGAGGCAGGTCAGGCCGGCAGGCCACGAGGCAGGTCAGGGCGGCAGGCCACGAGGCAGGTCAGGGCGGCAAGCCACGAGGCAGGTCAGGCCGGCAAGCCACGAGGCAGGTCAGGCCGGCAGGCCACGAGGCAGGTCAGGGCGGCAGGCCACGAGGCAGGTCAGGGCGGCAAGCCACGAGGCAGGTCAGGGCGGCAGGCCACGAGGCAGGTCAGGCCGGTAGGCCACGAGGCAGGTCAGGCCGGCAGGCCACGAGGCAGGTCAGGCCGGCAAGCCACGAGGCAGGTCAGGCCGGCAGGCCACGAGGCAGGTCAGG